GGGGGGGGGGGCGGGGGGGCGTGGGGGGGGGGGGGGGGGGCAGCCCTGTGGGGTGGGTGTGGGTGACTGCCAGGGCTGGGTCAGGGGGAGTGGGGGCTGTAAGAAGAACCAGCAGGGTGGTTGGGGGGCAGGGTGGGGGTGTGTAAGTGGAGGCTGAGGAAGCAGGTGTCCATGGGAAGCCGGATGTGGAGGGCCAGCTCAGCCCAGTGGCATGTGCACCAGGAGCTGTGCACCATCAGGCTGGGCAGGAAGCTGCATATGGAGGCATGGGGTCACACACCATCAGGCTGGGCAGGCTCCTGCTTGCCTCCATGGGTGGCTTCCTGCTCGAGTGCTGGAAACCGCATGTGGAGGCATGGAGTCCACCCAGCCTGATGGCATATGGATCCTGGTCCACGCACTATTGGGCTGAGCTGGCCGGCTCCGTGTCTCCACATGGGGCTTCCAGCACTCCAGCAGGAAGCTGCCCAAGGAGTCACAGATCCTACCCAGCCCAATGGTGTGAGGCTCCTGCCTGCAGTGCTGTGATCTGCATATGCTGGCATACAGCCAGCCTGGTCTGGTGTGAAGGTGTGCACCAGCAAGCCGGATCGGCTCCATGCCAGCACATGCATGCCCTGGGACTCAGCCAGAGGTGAGCATCACTAGGGGCTCTGCCTGCTGCAGCCATGAGTGCCCCACAATCTGCTGCTGCTGAGCTGCTGGTGGTGGGGGCTGTACACCACAACCGCCCCCCACACACACCCACACCTTCCCATACCCCTTCACAGCCCCCACAAACCCCACATCTGCCCACAAACCCCACCCCCGACACCTTCAGAATTCTCCCCACACACAAACGCCCCATACCCACCCCCTAACCATACAAGGTACCTGCATATATTTCTAAATAAGGGTCAAATTGTGTTATATTTAGTTTAATTTGTTAAAAGTAATTAATTTTGTATAATTTTTAATTTTCCTGCTCATAACTTTGAATTTTTAAGCACATAATTCCCTGGGGTATACAGAGTGGTCTCAGCAGGAGCTCTGATTTTCCATGATGAAAAACCCTAAATCAAATGCCAAAATATATAGGTATTTAGAATTTATTTTATTATAATGATTGAGGCATTGGTAGGCTTCCAAATTGCTTTAAAACTGTAAATATATCAATAAAACATTGTGTTCAACTGATACCTATATATGGTGGCCTTCGTTTTAATCATGGATTCTGGAGTTTTAAACAGAGAATTTGCAATTTTGTTTTTGTCAGAGAAAACCAGGATCCCTGGTCATTATCCTTTTCTCCTTTTGCCTGGAAGAAAAGGATAGGTGGCTCAGTTTCATCTATTGTATGCCAACTATCATCTTACAGAGAGAGAATTAAAGTCTGTTCAGATATACCTCAGATTGCTGAACCTGTAAGAAGATCAAGTGTTTCTGAGGGGGTCAAAATAATGGAAAAAGATTCTGTTCTTACTGCAAGAAATGCCATACATAAACATAGTTTCATAATTCCCATGTCATATTAAGACATGGCTTTGTGTAATGGAAGAAGGATGATTTGACTGATATATGAGTTTATATATGCACTTGACATAACTCAGGACTTTAAATTTACAGTTGGCAGCTTTTGTTTCAAGAAATGCAGGGCAAAGATCATTGACTGGAACTTGTTCAGGTTTGTAAGTCATAGTTTTTACCTTGCTTTCAGAAAGCAATGATTTCATGGCAATTATTGTACTGGGACATAAAGTTCTTAATAAACCAACATAAAAATGAGATCCTGTTCCAAACTCAGGGTTTGGGGGCAGGGATTTATTAATGTAATCACGAAATTGGTATGTAAGCAGTGAAGCTTCTCCCACAAAATCAATGTATTATATAAGAACCTTCTACCTCCTCAGTGCAGTTAATGTTTTTTATGTCATGTATCTGTACAGCACCTGGACCAATGGGGTTTCTGATCCTAGCTAGGACTGCATATGCTACTGCAATAAAAATAAGTGTATTTCTAACGTGTTCTCAATGAATTAAGAATTCTTATTAAAAGTCCTTTGAAAAGACCATAAAATGTACATACTTTCCTGCAGATAACTCCTGGATATTACTTTCCCCCTAGATTTAATCTTTTGGCAGGGAAAAGCTGTGGCGATATCTTTGATAATACATTCAATGGAGGAAAATGCATAACAGTAAAGAACAATGAGACAAGAAAAACATTTCGTGTCCCTGCAAATCTTGAGACTGTCAGCTTTCAGGTAACATATCAGGACTTAAAAATATCAAAAGCAGCACTTATCTAAAGGATCCTTGTAATGATTCAATAGCATATGATGTGCCTGATTAGTCAGTGATATACATTAACTCTTAGATTCTCTCTAGTTATGATTTGAAGGGAATTTCTTCTAAACTCTTCTATCTTGCTATGCATCATTTTAGTGCAGATGCATTGTTTATAGGTATTCAGGTTTGGTTTGACAGTAGCCCATATGAAATGGTGCCTCGAATGATCCTACCTCAGGCAGGAGTTCGGGCTAGATTACCTCTCAAGGTCCCTTCCAGCCCTACTTCTCTATGATTCTATAATATAAATAGATTAATTGGATGAGCATCATATATATATTACACACTGTAGGTACAGTCTTCAACAGTGTGCAAGGTCATACCAAGCTGTTATGGAAAAATTTTGGAACCTTCTTAAAATAGTTTGGCAAAGCCCAGATACTTTACTGCCTCCAACTAAGAGAAGAGAGAGAGTAAATCAAGCCCCCAGAAAGGAATCTAAGCAGTTTTTCTCACATCCCATGCTGAGCTCTTTGATCATCACTATCATTAAAGAGAATACAACACTAGACCATTACAAATCAATTCCTAAGAAAAAGAGCCCAAACAGTTAAAATTGCTTGGCAATAAGGCATACTCAAGACCATTCAAAAATCAGGCTGAAGGTTTTGATGGCTCAGTAGGAGAATCCAGCCAAGTTTATTCAATGCTGTATCTTGAACAAAAGACAGCATTAGAGGTGGATATGCAGACAACATTTGAAAATTGGAAAACCAAAACTGCTTTTGATTTCCTGGGCTATTATGATGATCTTGGCTCCCCTTTTAGTTTTTGGATACTCTTTGGGATCAGTGGGAATTAGGGGTGTGCAAAGTGGGCCCTATTCGATTCGGCTTTGGCTTCGGCCAGAATCGGGGACCGTGATTTGATTAGTTGATTCAGATCACTGTCCCTGATTCGATTCAGCTGAATCTGAAGATTCGATGCTGATTCAGCGATTTGGACATAGACACAGCTTTAAATGTTTTTTCTACATACCTCAAGGTACTAGCACGGTTCATGAATGTTGTGGTGCTGCTGCAGATGGAGCATCCCACAGCAGTGCAGGGGTACCCCCCGCATGCTTGAATCGGAAAGGGGAGCGGAAAAACTTCTGGTCCACTTCCAAGTCATGCTGGGAGGCCCCCCCACACACCCACAGCTCAGCAATCAGCCATGGGGGAACCCTGCACACCCCCCCCCCCAGACCCAGGAGGCACCAGTCGCTGAGCTGGGGGGGCACAGGGGAGGCCCACATGTTCCCCATGGACCCAGAAGTGGACCGGAAGTGCTTCTGGTCCACTTCCGGGTCTGCTGCCAAATGTGCTGGTGACCTCTCTGTACTCCTGTGGGACGCTGCATTTGCCCCAGCATCACAGCATTCACAAGCTGCCTACTACCTAGAGGTATGCAGAAGAAACATTTAAAGCTGTGTCTATTTCTGAATCGCCGAATCTTTCCGAATTGATTCAGAGGGTTCCGATTTGATTCGGAGAGATTAAAATGGTCCTCTGAGTTGATTCAGATTTGGAGATTCAGGAAAAAAATTAAGAGCATCTATGACCAGCCGTGGAGCAAAACTTTTTGTTTTGTTTTATCTCAGAAAGTTCAAAGACCTATTATTAAAAATAAATCTATGTTTCTTCAGGTGGAAAATCAAGAGGATGATTTGAAAACACAATTTTATAGTAAATTAACTACCATGGGACAACGTGATTTTAAGTCTGGGATACACTTAGGCTTCAGTGGCTCTTCTTCTGGGATCCCCTATCTTTGGGGTACAGATACACACACAAGTTCCTCATCATCTGCTTCCTTCAAAGAAATTATTGATGCCTCTCATAAAATGGTAAAATAATACATCTCTGTGTTATCCTTTTAATACCTATGTGTCTTAAAGATTATAATGACAGGTCTACCATGGGACAGTTTTATTTCTGACCACCTGAAAGTGAACTTCAAGATGACTTTGTAGTAAATTAAATGGGTCAGTTCTGGTTTGATTCCAAAAAATGAACTGTAAATTCAAGAAATGTATATTACATATTTTCTCCATTTCAATTTTGTTTTTTTAGAATTCCAACTTTGTTAGGATCTATAAAGTGATTGCAGTTTCAAACTTCACTCTGAAAAAGAATGATTTGCTGCTTTCAGGCACATTTCTACAAGCACTTAATAACCTGCCCTTGGAGTACAACTATGAGCTGTATAGTAGAATATTTGATGATTTTGGAACTCATTACTACACTACTGGTTCGGTGGGTGGCACATATGACCTTCTTTATCAGTACAGTACAGAAGAATTGAAAAATTCAGGTATGTGATCTTTTCAGGGAAAAGAAAAAAGATGCATGGCCAGTTTAACAGTAGTTAATGTAGTTTGGTTTACTGTATGCAGTACTATAATGCTATGCTTCTGTCAACTAAATCAGCTATAATTTTTAATGGAAGGGGATAGTTAAATCAGAATGTTTGTAGTAGACACTCAGGTCCTCCTTTCCCTTGTATGGGAAAGCAGAGTTTGAACCATCATCTGGAAATATGGAAAGGATGATATATCTAACACCATTCATTTGACAATTCACAAGCTTTTCTACAGCAAAGGCTGCATTCTGCCCAGCACTAAGGACAGCATATTTACCTTTGCTCATACTAGTCCAGTTTTCAGAAGCGACTTAAAAAAAATTAGGTGTAAGGGGAATCACTTGACTAATACCTATATGATCTCAGGTCACACTTTCTGTGGAGCTGGTTGGCCACACAGATTCTCCATCAAGCCATTATTCTGTTGCTAGGTACTGCTCTTATTCTGCTGGGAGGTGAAAGTCTGGCACCAGCTACACAAGACTGAAAAGCTCTGTTCTGCTCATAGGGTATCTCTGCATTGCAGACTGCTTGTTTAAAGCAAGTTCAGGGACCAGAAGCAGTCTGTGCAAGGTAATTTACCCTGCACAGAAGTGTGGTAACCAATACATAGTTTTTATGTGATCCAGTCTCTTGATATTATTCAGAGCCTTAGCCTCTTGCATGTCATCAAGGATCACTTTCTTCTTTGTAGCCTTGAGTTCAATTGTTCTGCTACCCTGAAGGTCATTCAGTGTGCTAATGACCAGGATTTCTTCCTGTCTGCTTGCTCTGACATCACCCTGCTCTTTGCAACCCCTTCACTATAATAAAACACAGTTTCTCTGTCTTAAAAACCCTTCATCATTGAGAGCCACTCTGTCAGATCTATCATAACTCCTAATTTAGCAGACCTTTCTCTCCCAGTTAAGGTAGCCTTCTTTGTCCACTTACCCATTTTTGTCTCAAGCACGTCTGTACTTTCTCTGACACAGTCCACCACATGCGAGGAAAAAAACTCTCATTGTCAAAACCTGTAAGGCCATTAAATGATCTTTCCTTTCAAAATTTAACTCCTTGACAATATATAAAGTAAAATGCACTTTGATAATGGCTAGGATGGTGACAATTTGTGTTGAACTCAGAATTACATCCATCCTATAATTTTTGTTACCTTCTTTTTCCACTGCTGCAGTGTTATTGTGTCTTACCTACCTATCCCACTTTGATTTGTATTTTAGAATGTAAACTCTGGGCAGGAACTGACTTTCATTTTCTATTATTTCAAGGGCTACCTTAATTCTGGCCTGTTCTACCATTCGCATGCTAGCCTTTGCAGTCTTAAAGTACTTTTAGCAATGTGCGTCTGTGTGTATACATTATTTAGATTTTTATCTTTTGTCTCATGATTGGCTAAGCCTATCCTGGACATAAAAAGCCTATCATATAACACGCTGATCACATGACCCTTTGCAGTCAACCCCAAAATACACTAGTGACATTAAATCTCTGAACATTGAAATTCCTCCAGAAGCAGCAGAATGGTTTTTTACTTTCCAGCTGATCTGCTGTTTGTGTGTAAGCATGAAACTACAAAAAATTGCTATTGCTTATGATTTCACAGTGAAAGTTCCCAGCAAGCTTCAGGCTGGGAGATTGTTCCCAGCTGCAGTTCCTTGATTACGGAGTGGGGGTTGGGGGCTGGGAGCTTCCTGATGCCAGGGCAGGAGGACATTTTCCCTGCCCGGGCTCCTGTGGTCAAGCCCACTCCAGCAGCAAGCAGCGCCTGGGGACAGGGAGAAATCTCCTGTCCCCTGCTCCTGTCTCCTGTCCCCTGCTGCCCAGCTGACTAGGAGCAAATTTGCCGTACTGGGCAGTAATGGGCACAGATGCCATACTGGGCAGTAGCAAATGAACTGCTTGGTAAGGATCAGCACGTGTAGACGGTGACGCTTACTATGCAGTAATTAGCTCTACTGCGGAGTAAAGCATCTCATGTAAACATGCCCAGTGGTTTCTAAGTGTGTCAGTCCTGTGCACTACAGCACCTCTTTATTTGGTATTTTATCTTCCCACTTTATTTTCAGGACCTTATGCAGGCATCTTATGTAGAAGCTGTTCAGTCTCTTGATGTACCTAGCATATGTTGTCCATGTCTCTGAACCATAAAGCAGACATGACGGCATACAAGTTTCTTAGATTCGCATCTTCACCTTAATTGATAATTTGCTGTTACTACATGAACGTTTCTATACTAGCTGAAAATTCTTATCTAAGTTTCCAATTCTTAGTTCAGTCTGAAGGTCAGGATTG